TATTTATTGTCGTATCCTATGTAGGAACACATTCTTCCATGTGGACTTACGCCATGAACCTTTATTTTTTATTTATAGAGCGGCAAGTTGAGCAATACTACTTTATTTTTAATGGAACAGTTGAACAATAGTTTAAGCATCCTCTCTGTTGATGCAGAGGGTTTTCTCAGTCATTGAGATTTCTTAAAAAAACAGGAAAAACGAATAAAATGCCTAAAGTTGTTGAATATTAATGTGATAAACACTTACTTACAATTCTATCAAATGTTAACTGTATTTCATGCAATTTACAAGGTTCTGGTATTTCCATCAACTTGAGATGGGTTTTACTCCCTCTAGTGTCTTACATTATGGGATGCAGGGGTTAATTTCTTCTCCTCATGTTATGAAGTAACCATGCTCTGAGATGATCTACATATATTAAACAAGACTGAGACCGGCCGGCTGGTTCTTTCTGCTGGCATGGTTATCCATGAAAGATACAAAGTTTTTCTTTGGATACAGGGCAGCTTTTATTAATTCAAAATGTTGCATCAAGCGATACAAGCACATTGAGCACACATCCGGCCTCTATAAACTTAAATGTGTAGGAGCACAGCCTTCCATGTGGACGTATGCCACAAGCCTTCCATCAGGGATTCAGTTGAGAGGGGAGGGAAGTGTTGATTAATCTAACGGTTCGCCAATCCTGCAACCACAACAGCTAATTCAGCGAGGTGAGATTAGCAAGTTCAACCAAGTAGGCTCTACTCCGTAATCTGTACAACACTAATTATTTTCAGACGGTCCACGTTAATTGTGACTAACAAAAGGTCCATGACAGTAAGCTTTATCTTTGGCAAATACTAGTGTTTTGTATTGTACTCCCTCCGTTCGGAATTACTTGTCGCAGAAATGGATGTATCTAGACGTATTTTAGTTCTAGATACATCCATTTCCGAGACAAGTAATTCCGAACGGAGGGAGTACATTATTGGCAGTAAGCTTTTATGTGTCGAGAGAACGATTAGTAATGTACTGGCTGCATGGAGAATAAAGACTATTTGTGATTTATGTATATTCTTTGAGTTGCTTGCTATAATCTAAAGGAAGAATCTGGAAATAAAATGGCAGGTGTTTGGGGCTTTGGGTTTGGTTCATTCATGGTGATTAATGTGGTGGTTGTCCCTACTCTACTCTACTTAGAGAATAGAAGAGCAGAGCAGAGTGAGAAGATCACGTCTAGAGTGTTTGCGGCAGTTTTTGCATATCATAGTGATCTGTTAAATTCTGCATTTTGAAATATGTTCTTAAAGAGTTTATTCTCAAGTCGCCTGCATCCCACATATCAAAGTTCATGCGGCCTTTCGCAATGTGCTAAGCAAACATTACTGCTTATTTGCAGCTAGTGCTTCAATTAGGATAATCTGCCTATTCTGCCTATGCTGCTGTGACTGTGATGTATACATGGAAAGTGAAAAATCCTGATACTTTGAACCCTGGTGCATAAGCTCTGATATACTTGTAAACCCAGCCAGGTGTATCAGCAGCAGAGAATGAACGATCTCTAACAGCTGAGAAGAATATAAACGCAACAACTATGTCCACGAGCAGGTGCCGTCTAAAGTAGACATCAATTGTATCTAGTATCAATGGATCAAATGAATATGTGCAATATAGATTATCTTATCCTACAGCAAAGGACAAAGCAACCTCCACTGTGATCCAAAAGAAACTGCACAAGTTCAGGTACTGCTCGACTTGTACTGAGTACATGGAGATTAGCTGTCCAGAAGTACATCACACCATACAAAAGGTAGCAGTTACAACCAGTACCAACCAAACGTGACACTCTGAGATGAGGACAACAGAACAACAGTAAGAATAATAATAAACACGTTTTGGCAAAGGAGCTGGAGTCGTCGAGGGCGACGGTTGCAGAAATCAGGGATGAAAGTGAACTGATGGGTCGATCGACGACACATGGAAGAGCTGAACTGCATGATGAGCTTGAGAGACTCACTCCACATCAGTGACAGCCAGTGGAGACGAGGTGTGGTCCCCTGGAGGCATGCTAGCTGTTTGAAATAAATGAAACACTTAAAAATTAATGAAGGGAACTTTTAAATGCATATAGCATACTGAAAGATCAAAATTGGTGAAATAAAAAGTACAAAATGTTATCTCTTTGAGAGCAAGCAGATGAGGACTTTACCTTTCTATTTCTGCCCTTGCAAATCTGGATGAAGATTAATAAATATATTTTGAGCGGACATGCTCAATCTTTGGCCAGCTTTCTCCATCAGGTGATTGGCAGCTCCTCTTCAAGAGTTCAGAATCCTGCACCCATAGGTAGTTGAGGGACGATGGCAAATCTGGTAAAGATGATATATTGGGGCATCCAACAATTCGGAGTGTACTCAGACATGAAAAGCACTTCAGATTTTGTGGCAAGGAGCTGATTTCACAATCTTGAAATTCCAGGCAGTTGACAGATGAGAAATCTGATGATTCTTCAAACGAAAAGGATCGCTCGTTGCATCCTTCAAGGCCAAGAATTCCTGGAACTGTAAAACCTTCAGCTAACAGCAGGTAGTTGAGCATTACAGAGCTGCTAACAGAGAGGTAATGGTTGACTCGCAACTGTGAGATGCACTTCATATTGACGTTCGGGAGATATGTCAAATCTACGTCGACAAGTTGCAGCGAAGACAAGCCTTCAAGAAAGCACAAGTCCTGTAAATTTTGTAGTGATAATCCTATAAGGGAGGTTAAATGACCAATCGATAACGATGAAGAGCTTCTGCACCACTCCATGGAAAGAACTCTCAGGTGCGACAAGTCGTTACAGAAGAAATCAGATGCAACCACACAGTGCCCTATGTGAAGATTACGAAGGGACAATGGCAAAAAAACTGATCCATGTGCCAAGTCTAAAGAAGGGCAGCTCCATAATGAAATTGCTGAAAGACCAGTAGCAGCTCGTAACCCCCCTAGTGATCTAAGGCACCAGCAAGAGTTGACGTGCAAGTCCTGAAGCTTTGTCAACTGTTGGAGGACATCTTGTGACGGAAGTGCAGTTAAAGTCATGATCTCTTTTAAGAACAAAGATCTGAGTGAAGTGAGACCCTCAAGGCAAACAGCTAATGCTCCATCTGTGACGATGCATGAAGAAAGTTCAAGCCGACAAAGCCCTGATGGTGGAACAAGTGGCAGGACGATGTTCCTTTTATGAATGAGTCTTATCCTTTCTTCATGGCAACATATCCATGCCTTGATGATGTCCTCTTTTACCAATACTTCATCTCCCCATCTTTGTAGAGCACTTTTAATGGTTTGAAGATGAGATATCAGCATGCATCAATATCATCAAGCGCTTCAGAGATGAATACTCAGACAATAGTATGCTCCTGATTTTTGATCCCGTATCCGTCTCCCATATGGAAGAAAGCCGTGCCTTCAAGCTATATGTCATCATGGTGTTCTCCCTCTGGTCATGTAGTTCTAGCTCATCACTAGAAATAAACATAAGCAGCGTGCATTTCTCAATCACTAACTCTTCAAGGTTGGTTGGAAGAGAAGATATAGTCTTCAGGTTTGGGACATTCTCGAGGCGAAGTGAGGAGCAATTCTCAAAGAGAGCGCCATTGGATGGTAGGATTTCTAAGGTACTGCAATTGACAAGCGCAAGTGATTCCAAATTCTGAAAATAAGAATCCACAAGTAACCAGCCTGGGTATTTTGCATATCTGTAACCTTTCATAGCAAGGCCCCTAATTTGAGGCGGTGGCATCATACCTTCGAGAGTTTCCAAATGAAAACTATCATGTGAAGTCCTGTCATTTTTGTTTCTCCATTCAAGGTGCAAACTCTCAAGATGAACTTTCTGATGTAGCTTTGCTTCTAAAGCTTGATCCTTCCCAGCAATATTCTCGAGATTTTTTATCCTTAAACTGCCTCCAAGGTCATTCATGTCCTTCAGCTGCTGCACCTCATAGCCCATCTGCTTTTGCACGCAAAATTGTCCGAGATGTTGGAGCGAAGTTAACTTGCCTATGCAAGGGATTTGATCACACCCTTCAAGATATCTCAACTTACTTAACCTCAATAGTTTTTCAGGCAAAATTTTAACATCGGCACTGAACTTAAGTACTTGCAAGTGGTAAAGAGCAAACAATGATACATGCAATTCGGAGATTGAAGTTCTTGTGAGGTCCAAGTACCGAAGGTGCTTCAGTTCACCAATAGATTCAGGAAGTTTGCTGCTGTTGTAAAACCACAGACTAAGTACACGTAACGTCTTCAAATTCTGCAGCACCTGCTGGAAAATATCACTTGCATCATCTGTAAGTGGCTCAATGCAGACAAAGGTACGTAAATGATGTAGCCTGCAGATAGAGTGTTGATGTTTCTTCAAACTGTTCACACAAACAGATAGATGTCGAGTGGTGCATGGTATTGTTGCCACCTTATCATCTTCTAATCTGAAGCAAACTTTTTTAGACAATGACTCTGCCAAATCATGAACGAGATCATGCATAACAAAGTAGTCAACTGCGTCACCTGTGTAAGCTAGTTGAAAGAATGAAACTGAGAGCATCTCATCAACGCAATCCCTCCCAATATCTTCCATTCTCTTGTTCAGATTGCACGAATCAATAAGTCCCTCTGCTACCCACATGCGAACCAACTCCTCCATGAAATAGGGGTGGCCTTTTGGATATAAACTGCAATATAGGAAACACCTCTGCAGACTCAGATCTAGCTTCTCATAACTCCACAGGAGTGCTCTACTGGGATCGCTTAAGTTGTCAATCTTTAGAGCATCTTCCCATGCAGCCTTATCCTTTTTCCTGCTCAGCCGTGAACCCACAGTTTTTGCTGCTAGAGGAGATCTTCCAAGTCTTTTAGCAAGCTTTTCTGCAATAGTTTCTAGCTGCTCACGCACCTTCTGGTCTCCAACTGCTGCACCAGAAAAGGCATGGTCCTTGAGGAGTTCTAAGATATCGGTGTCTTCCAGATTTTCAAATGAATAGTTTCATTACAGCAAAGAGGAGCTGGCAGTATATCTGACCGAGAAGTTACCAAAACTTTGCTTCCCATCTGTTGAGACACTAGAGGAGACAATAGTTGCTCCCACTCCATCTCGTTGGTGTTTTCTTCAAACCAAACATCATCCAGCACAAGAAGATATCTGTTTGACTTTTGCAGTATCTCCCTTAATTTGCACTGTAGAGTATCAAGATTATCAATACGTGGGCACTCTCCCTTTGCTGCTGATTCAATAATCGCCCGCGTGTGGCGGTCAACATCAAGTCTGCGTGAGATGCAGACCCACATCCTGACATCAAAATGTTCTGTTACCCTCTTGTCATTGTAAACATGCTGCGCTAAGGTGGATTTTCCCATGCCTCCAAGTCCAACAATGGCTAGACCAGAATACCTACTTGTATCAGACTCAAGAGCAATTGGCTTGGTAAGAAGATCTATGATATCATCCCGATCCTTGTCACGACCAATCACTTTCTGAGGTACCATTGATGTGACAACTAGAACAACAGGTGTTGGTACTGCAGAGGCCTCAGCACTATTACCGACAGGTAAGCAAAGCAGTTCACGGAAGTCCTTGGCTTTCGCCAGGATGGCCTTCAGTTCCTTCAACTGGTGAAGCAGCCGTTTGTTCTTTGGCCGCAGATTGGACAGCCTGCTCGACGCAGTATGCACATGCTTCATAATAGTATTACTGGAAGATGCATGCTCCGGCATACATTCCTTCCCCTTCTCTGCTTCGCGCTTGAGGATGTTGTACTCATGCTCATCTATCAGGTCCTCAGCTTTACAGAAGGCGTCTTTGAGCTGCTGGACCCATTTGTTCAACATTGGCCTGTGAGGGCTCCTGTTAGCTGCTTCAACCAGTAGAGCGAACTGCGGTATGATGTTGGTCTCCAGTTCATGGAGCTCACTCACCATGTCCACACCAAGACACCTTGCAGGGTCAGTTAGGAGCTTCTTTAAGATTGGAGATACCACCAACTGTAAACCAGCCCGCACGCCAGCCACAGCCAGCGCCACCTCTGCCATGGAAAGCACACCGTGGGTATAGGGGATGATGTATCTCTTTTTTTTTGTTTCTTGGAAGTCGAAAGACACGGTGGGAAAATTGGGATTTTTTTGAGGAATGAAAATAGGGAATATAACAGAGCAAAGATGGGAAATAGGTAAGATTACTCCGAAGGCAGGTTTTTTTGTGTGTATTCACAGAATCATCTATTTGGTTGGTGGAGGAGATGGAAAAATGATGTGAAGAAGTGTGTCTGGAGGGGAAAACGAGACGGAATGGAAGAGACACAAAAAGGAATGGATGAACATGGAGAAGTACAGAATAGCTAACGGGGCCCTGAGCTCTAATGATAGCAATAGTTGAAAAATCTGCAGGAGTAGAAAACAGGGAAATGAATCAGAGAGCTGAATCATACAACATACTGTAAACAGCGCCGCTGCATACTGATTCTTCTTCTTGCCTTTGTGCAACTGGATGTATTTGAAGAAGAAGACTAACAGGGACAAGAAACAAAACAGAGGGCAGCAAACTTACGCAGATGAAGAGGCGAAGGACCATGAAGGCAGGGAGCGATTGTTGCAGCAGGTGTGGTGATGAAGGGGAATGGGAGGTTGCGGGAGAGGCGAATTGGAGGCAGCACTAGACCATAAGAGAAAGGCTCTCCAATGGGGGTCAACAAAACATGAATGTATCTGATCCAGCCACTAGCATTTTTTAACTTGAGCTGAGCCCAACTTGCTGAAAAGCTATCAGGTACCCACTGTCTGTAGCGCACTCACTAATCAAACGATGCTTAAAATACATGAAGCGGACGCGTAAGCTGTAATTAATAAGAACAAGTGCCCATCCGCTCATGTTTCTTAACAATGAAATGGTAGGTCATCTTACCTGCTTCTCTTTATTTATTTCTTTCTCTCTTTTCCATTACCATCACTGGACCTTTTGTGTGATTTCCAGGAAGCATCGCTCCAGTTGTGAAAGGTATGACAAATAATAAATTTAATTATGATCTCATATGCCTTCAATATACAGGATATATATGGCAATTGACAATAGCAAATGGGTAATATGATGTGCATTAAAGGAAAAACAATGAAGACCGATTATGACATTGCGAAACAGAGAGGAAGTGGGTGATAAGACAGATTATGACAACTGTAGCAGTTTGGGCCTGAAGATAGGTCACCTTACCTGCTTCTCCTTCTTCTTTTTTCCATCGCCATCACTGGCCTTTCATAGTTTCCAAGAACAAGAACAAACTGGAGCAGCTAGGCTTCATCCTTGCCAGCACATAGAGATAGAGGTTAACTAACTGCTATGAGGCATGCATATTCAGCAGTAAACATAGTTTAACTAACATGTTTTAACATCCTCGGAAAGAAAAAAGAACAACGATTGCATCTGAATTGGATGATTTTCCCCCTCTTGGTGACTGACCCAAATTGAATTGAGTTGTCAAGACAAATTGCATCAATGGTTATACTACATGGAAGCAATTGGCTGAACATAGATAGGTTAACTGTAGCATGCTGAAGCCAGCAAACTCTGCTCCAGCTAGTTGTGTATTTTAACTTGAGCTGAGCTCAACTTGCTGAAAACCCCAAGTAACAGATACCCACTGTCTGCAGCGCATCCACTAATGAGTAATGACTAATGAAATGATTATAAGTACAACAAGTGCCCCAAGCTGCCGGCCTAAGCTATAGTTTAATAAGAAGTAAGTGCTCATTTGTTCATCTTTTGACGATTGTTACTTGAGGGAGTAAATCCAGGTAACCATTGTTTTAGCAGGGATGGATGTCACTCGGCAGTTAATTAGAAGCAGTGGTTCTGCTGCAAACACGAGGCAAGTCACAAAACAGCAAGTCTGGGATTGAGTTGAGTTGTTAACCTGAAGGCTCACCAATACCAGCTTGAATCTTGTCAGTTTGCATATCGTGTAGTGTAGGACCTGGTGGTAGCACAAACTAGTAGAAAAAGAGCCTAATGTGAAGCATATTAGTCCCGGTTTGTAACAAAACCGGCACTAATGTGATGGCGGAGATCATTAGTGGCGGTTCGTGGCTAACGTTTAGTACCGGTTCGAGCAACAAACCAGTACTAAAGAGGTTGTGGCGGACTGTGGTCAGGCTGCAGCCCCACCAGTATCTTTAGTACCAGTTCAATGCCACAAACCGGTATTATAGGTCTCTAGTTGATTCATTCTGGAGCGGTTTTTTAGTCCCATCTCGCTCCGCTAACAGAGTTTTTACCACTTTAAATATGTTACTTCTCAAACTATTACAAGCAAGAAAGT